ACTTGCTCATCCTGGCAGCTGCCCCAAATCCGCTGTCTATCCCCACCAACCTCTGAATGCCTTTCCTTGTCCCTTGCCAAACTCCCTTTCAGAGCTTTATTTGTGAAATCAGTTTTGTTTCTCTTTGCATCACCCATGTCCCCCTTGGCAAGCAAAGTCAAAGACTTAATGAATTAACAGGACTGTGTCATACCTGGGGAATATATATATGTTGTTTGTCTCCTCACAATTTTTTTCCAGCCTAAGAATTCAGCAATGTGTTGCTTTTTAAATTTCCACCATTTTCTTCGGAGAGGTGTGTCATTAAGTAGGCTTAGAAATAAAACACCTAAAATCAACAAACACTCTCTCAAATACCTACTGTTCTGTGGATGTTGTAGCAGTGGTGCATGTCAGGGAAATCTATGGCACCTTATAAAGGCGTCAACTCCCATCAGTCACCCAGACTATCACCTCTCACTGTCACGCTTGTATCCCCACAGCGACCTGCCCATAAGAAGCTGCTGATCCACCACGTATATGACCTTCCTCTAATCACAGAATATGAAGACCTCTATCTATGGCTTTGCAATAAAAATTATTCATATTTGAATCTCATTGCCATTATTTAAAAGTGTGTGACCTTGCACAAGTCATTTGCTCTCATTTGGCTACTATTTCCTTACCTATATAAGAAAGACCAGAACCATGCACGCCTCCTATTAGGAATCTATAGCATAATATCACTTTCCATGACATGAGGCAGTTGGGTGCTGAGCCTGGCACAGAGTAAGGCCAGAGCAACTGACAAACGCAACTCTCACAGGTAATGGAGGGGCTGCAGGAATCTGCGGGGTGCCGCAGATACTGGGAGTGAGCTTGGTGGTGTGAAAACACCAGCGGCGGTAGCATGCACCACGCCATCCCCCGTGACGTGGGAGATGACTGCACAGGGACCAGCCAAACAGTTGATTCATTTCCCAGCGATCTACCTCAGCTGGGATTGCAGTCATCAACACACTGGAAAACCCAGCTTGCTCCAGAGGAGGCCACAGCCGGGATCTTCCCCCGGAGCCGCTGTGGCAGGTGGCATTTGTCTTCTCTTCTACAAACTGTTGTTCTCTTCAAGGATCATTGCTTGTCTAAGCCACGTATGAATTTCTTAATATTTTGGCATGGCATCCTTCTGATGATTGCAGGCTCCCATGTAAGCAGATCACTCTGGGCCTATTAAATACTGTATTTGCTTCACAGCCAAATAGTTAGTATGTAAACATGCTGTAAAAAGGAATTTTTTTTCAATGAGCTGTATTAGAGTTTATAGAGAGTCTCATTATTCATGAGGAGCTCATGGCTCTCTCACTCATATTCCTCAAATTCCAGGGAGGGTGAAAAGATGGCACAACATATACCCCCATGGATTTCTTCAACCCAAACCTCTCAATGCTTAGGGCTTCCAGAAATGAGGCTTTCGCCTTCATTAACTGAACAACTCGGGAATTATCATCTACTTTTCCCAAAAGGGACCAATTCTTTCTGTAGCGGCTAGTATTGTAAAATATTCTATGAAACCAGACAGTCCCATTTTTATTTTAGGAGCAATCAGATGGCACACAAGGAAACAGAACGGGTGAGTGGGGATTAATTTCAGTATCTCACGGCCATTTATATTGATTTTTCTGAAGTTTGTACAAAAGAAAAGATTTCCCAGCTGAGCTAAGATCAAAAGTGGCACATTTAACAGGATCTTGAGGATCCAGAGGGCCATCTTGTTTAAATACCTTTAAGAAATGATACTGTGATTCTTTAAACCTTTTGTCTACAAGAGGGCAAAAAGATTATCCAGGAAGATGGCATATACGGAAAGCTGCCTCCTGAAAGACAAAACGTTCCGGGGAACCAATGTACAAATGCTACAACCAACCAGTCCTAACCACCCTGTCTCTTCCCTCCCTGTGATGCAGCTTTCACAACCATGAGCAAGGCAGTGAGAGACAAATGCAATATTTAGCAGCATGAAGACAGCATCACGAAGAAACACCTGCAACCTGAGCTCCATGGGAAGCACTTCCATTGTGAGAGTGTGGAGTAACAAAGAAGAAGCATTTAGAGTGCTGCCAATTTGACAATAGCAGTTTAAATTATTGCACCTATTTTTTAATTTATTATTTTAATTGGTAAATAGTAATTGAATGTATTTATAAGGTTCAGTGTGATGTTTTGATCTCTATACTCACTGTAGAAAGATTAACTCAAGGTTCTTAATACATCTTTCACCTTACCAGCTTATCAGATTCTTTGTGGTGAGAACATTAGATGTCAATTTTTTAGCAATTATGAGATATATAACGCATTACTATTTATTGTGGTCCCCATACTCTGTAATATTTTATTGATATTAACACCTGCTTTTAGACTATTCACAAGAACCCCCTGACCCTTTCATCAAAAAATACAGTGGATCATAGAGGAGATCAAGACTAGGACATGAGAGATTAAGTTGTTCAGTTTCCCCAAACATTCCATGAGATTATGCTTCATGTAAATCACTGTATTATGTAGAGGCAGAAAAGCATGAAGGATAAGAGGGTAGTTAGGCTTGCCCCAAAGAAGCTCATGTCGGCAGAAGATATTAGTTAGGGGAACTAACTATATAGCAGACTCAGTCACAAATTTACCTAACAGAAGTATAAAGAGGCTTGGTTTACTGTAGAAAACTTAATGGGGCCGGTGCCATGGCTCAACAGGCTAATCCTCCGCCTGCGGCACCGGCACACCGGGTTCTAGTCCCTGTCGGGGCGCCGGATTCTGTCCCAGTTGCCCCTCTTCCAGGCCAGCTCTCTGCTGTGGCCCGGGAGTGCAGTGAAGGATGGCCCAAGTGCTTGGGTCCTGCACCCCATGGGAGACCAGGAGAAGCACTTGGCTCCTGCCTTCAGATCAGCGCGGTGCGCCGGCCACAGTGCGCCAGCCACTGCGGCCATTGGAAGGTGAACCAACGGCAAAGGAAGACCTTTCTCTCTGTCTCTCTCTCTCTCTCACTGTCCACTCTGCCTGTCAAAAAAAATAAATAAATAAGTAAAACTTAATGGAAGATGTAAAATTGAAATTGGGTTTTGAAGGGAGTATTGGGGAAAACAAAAATGATAGAGGTGATTCTGTATGTCCTATATTGGTTTCCAGGGTAGTGACTAGGATAAAGAACATAGGCATCTTAGTCCTATCATGGACTATAACAAATGTCATAAAACACATGGCTTATAAACAACAGAAATTTATTTCTTACAGTTCCAAGATCTAGGAAGTACAAGTTCAAAGTGCTGGCAGATTCAGTGTCTGGTGAAAACTCACTTCCTCACAGAAGACCATCTTCTTGTTGTAATGTCACACATCAGAAGAGAAAAGGGATCTTTTTGGGACCTCTGTATAAGACTAATCTGCTTCATGAGGGTCCTACCCTCATGACCTAGGCATCTCCCCTAAGCCTCACTTTCATATACCTTCACACCAGGGAGTAGATCTCAATGCATGAGTTTGGAGGAATACAAACATCCACACAAACACAACAAAAGAGGGGCATGCTTGGGAAGAAAATGAGATGAACATGAGTTACCACTTTCCATTCGTGATGACATCCAAAGGATATTTGGAAATTCAGATCTTCAACTTGAGAAGCTTGGTTTGCGTTCATTCTTAAGTGCTTTGTGTTTCATAAAGACCAGCAATACACCATGCAGAATTGCTGCCCACATAATGCAGGTGCTTTGCACAGCTTTGCTTCTCGTAGCCCAAGCTTTGCAGAGGCATAGCCCTGAGTCATTATCCTCTGAAGTTATGCTTTAAGTTAAGGACATTTCACATAAAAGACCATATATGCCTTTTCAGGGTTGCAGCAGAAAAGACTGGTGAGATCAATGTATCTTGTACTGGCTTTTCTAAAAGGCCTGAGAAAGACTCAAAAGGTAACCTATTCCTAAAAGGCCAACCTATTCTGAGTGTATTCTAAGTCCTCAGAGAGCAGAGAGCTTTCACCACAATTTTAGTGGAATGGGCCACTGTGAGTATTCCTTAGGAAACTGTGTATAAAGAAAAACAGCCAACTTGTGGGCACAGGCTCAAGTTGTAGAGCAGTTTCATGGAGTAAACTGAAGCTGCCTTCCAGTACCTTGGGAACTTCCAGGAACCACAACCATCCTGACGTGTTTCTGTGAATCCAGGAAAGATAGGAAGAGCCTCCAAAAAGACTCAACATTCACAGATGTTGAGAGTGATGCGAGAAAGATGAACAGAGATTGTGCAGTATAGATTCCTACTCAAATGGCAAGCATGATTACTACTCAAATGCTTAATGCCATCTCCTCATCAGAAACAGCTCTCAGGAAAGAAGGGAGTGGAGATTAATTTTAGTATCTCACAGCCAATTAATTTGATTTTTCACACATTCTTATTTCACACATATGCATAAAGTGGGTAATAAATGTATAACCCCCTCAGGCTTTGTGTCTTATTAGAGGGATTTCTTGTATGAATGAGTAGATGAAAATGGAAAGGAATATGCATACATGTGTGCATACACATATGTGGGAATGTATAAAGGGTAATTAGTGACTACCGCGGTTGACAGCACCACAACATAGCTATCAGTGCAGCTATTCATGGAGAAGCTCCCAGATATAAAGACAGGCAGGACACGCAGTATTCAGTATCATTGTGTTTAAGTTATTGTGCAGTCAGCACTTTTAATTGCACAGTGATGTAACATATAAATAGATCCTAATGATAACATACTCATATACTTGTTGCTATTGTTAATATATATTACATATTAACATCTATTGATATATTTAATTATATGTGTATATACACAAATGCATATATAGGAAGGAATCTCAAAAGTTCAAAGGAAATGCATATGATGAAAAATTTATGCATGAATATCACAAAAGTTTTATATCAAAATAAACTTACTACAAACTTTTGAAAATACCTTCACATAGATATATCCATGTGCACACACACACATATACACACACACACTTCAAAGTTAAGCCAGTAACTGGCCAGAAAGCTTCTTCATCAGCCTCCCTCTGCAGGAAGGACATTCCACAACATGGGATATTGACACCATTGGCTGTGATGTAGGTTAAGCCTCTGCCTGCAGTGCTGGCATCCCATAAGGGTGCCGGTTTGAGTCCTGGCTACTCCACTTCCAATCTAGCTCCTTGCTAATGCACCTGGGAAAGCAGTGGAAGATGGTACAAGTCCTTGGACGCCTGCACCCATGTAGAGGACTGGAAGAAGCTCCTGATTCCAGCCCCACCGCCCAGCTGTTGTAGCCATTTGGAGACTGAACAAGTGGATGGAAGAGCTCTCCTCTTCTCTTCTCTTCTCTCTTCTCCTCTCTCCTCTCTCCTTCTCTCTCCATATTTCTGCCTTTCAAATAATAGATAAATCTAAAAGATACAGGCGAGCCCACCATATCAAGCACACAGTGTTCTAAAAGAAAAGTAAAGAGTGTAAGGCACAGCAGTCAGAGAAGAACAGAACAACGTTCTCTCTCTTGCACATGCGCACACCATGCAGGCAACATACTCCTTTCCTACCTCCTCTCATTTACAATCAAAAGGTCAGTGAATTGAGGAGAAGAACTTTGGGATTCTTATCAGAAGACCTAAAACAGAATGGGGAAAAATAGGTCGCCCTGATGCTTGCAGCATTCCCCAAAGCACCCTGCCTGTGGACAGGAGGTATGTCTGCTTCTATTTCTGATTCTTCCTTTAGGAGGCCCCTCAGGGCTTGGCTGCTCTGTGCCAAGAGGACACAACCCAGAGCTCTCTGGCAGATGGCTCCAGTTTCTATATTAGACTCAGCATTTGTGTATTGATATCTTTCTCCCAAATCTATTTTCCATCATTAACAGGCCTGACACTGGCAGCCAGAAAAATCTGCCACTCCAGTTCCCTCGTACTGCCAAGGTCCAATCACTCAGTGTTTGCAATGAGAAAAAAATAGAAATAATAACCAAATCCATAAACTTTAGAATGAGTTATACATCCATATGAGGAAAAAAGCATGAGCTTTTCACACTCACCTATGTCTTTTTTTTTAATTTATTTTTATTTATTTGAAAGACAGAGTTACAGAGAGAGTAGAGACAGAGAGAGAGGTCTTCCATCCACTGGTTCATTCCCCAGATGGCCGCATCCAAAGCCAGGAGCCAGGAGCCTCTTCCAGGTCTCCCACGCGGGTGGGACTTGGGCCATCTTCTACTGCTGTCCCAGGCTGTAGCAGAGAACTGGATCAGAAGAGGAGCAGCCAGGACTAGAACCAGTGCCTATATGGGGTACCAGCGCTTCAGGCCAGGGCTTTAACCCACTGCACCACAGTGCCAGCCCCCCAACCCTTATCTTGAGTTTAAGAAGGCCCACTCAGAGTTCAAGGACTTTCAATAAAGCCCAAGAGTTGCTCCTGTCCATCTAAAGAATGCTAGGCAGTCATTGCACCTTAATATGCATACATGTGTGCATCCTTTCAGGGCAATCACTGGCTGCAGAGGGATCACCTACCTTCATGCAGGGAGCACCTGATCACAAATATTAATCCATATTTAGGACTTGGTTCAAGTCCTAATTGGCGTCAGTCTTTCAGCCCTTCCATCAGCAAGAAGCTGGGTGCAGAGGACTGCAAAGTGTTGGCTCAGAGTGGTTGGATGGGCACAAGAAGAGGATGGCAGAAAACAATGGAATGGAAGAAGCCTGCCTGCTGGGGAGGGAGTTGAACAGGAAGAAAGGCAAAGCCCTGTGGATGAAACCAGAAAGCCCACCTTCCAAATAACTGTCGAGGGAATCCTCACTCATCTTAGAGTTGGGGGAGGCTTTCAAGGGGCCCAGCAACTGATATAAAGTTTAAATATTCACTGAATAAACGCTAATGGAGAACTCCTCCAGGATCACAATCAGCCAAAAGGATACCCAGTCAATCTCTCCTTCCCACTCCCCTTCCCTTTCTCTTTCCTTGTAATACTTGCATATCCCTGAAAGGTCTGCATTAACTTCTAAGGGAAAAAAAGCTAGTCCAACCTATCTGACACATACCAGAGAACCAAGAAAACAAGAATATAAAAAAATAACAAGAAGAGATGTGGAATGAAGAGATAATTTGGAGAGATCACTGTAGCAGAAAATGTAGACGGTATATTTATGGCAACACACTTATAATCTAACTTTGAACTACTCTGCTGACCGAACTAGTTGCATAATACTCATTAACTGATGAAAATAAAGCATATCCTTTATCAAAGGTAACAAAAATTAGATGTTGAGAAAAAAAAGTCAAACTATTCAAACAAATGAACGATTACTGGAAAAAGGACTTACTAGACATAACTATATCCCAGATATCTTTCATTTGGTGCTCACAATAAGCCCATTTCTCAGATGAAGGAAGTGGCTCAGAGAGGGAGAGTGACCCAGATATTAAGCAACTTCACAATTTTTCAATGTTAACTTAATACCTGCCACAATTTTGTTCTTTGTTTGCCCTAAGAACTGAAAGAACAAATAACCAGTAGTACTATATCCTTTCAAGAGGCAGTTGATATCATGGGGGAGTAAAATCTTTTCCACTGGGACAGGGAAAAGAGTCCAGCTGGCCTCAAGGGACTATTTGGGTTCTACCCATGGGTACACCATGTCACAGCACCAACCTGAAAGCAGTACTTTGCTATTTCTACTGTTGTTTCATCCTATATGTGGGAACAGAAACTGTGACACTAGAACAGAAAACAATATATATAAACTTGAAAATGGTCCAAAAATGTGCCTTTCAGAGGAGTGAGAGAAAAATGGCAAGTTGCAGTTTGTGGAACCATGTTCCAGGCTCCATGGTACTTCTCACAATGAGACAATAGCTCCCAGGCCAAATATTTTGCTGTCCTGTGGCTCTTTCATATGAGATTTCATCTGCTCCTCACAGCTATCTTGGGATATATGTATAATATGATCATTTACATTTCCATGCTGTAGAATATCAAGGCCATGAGAGATTAAGACTTTGCTCAAGAAATGCCATAAGTATGATAAAACCTGGATCTCCAGAGCCAAGGACTGTGCTTTTTGCCCTACACCTCACTTCCACTCCCAGAGAAGATACACCTTCTTGCAGGATCAAAGACAGTGTCATATATCGTGCAGAGAATCCAAGTTAAATTGATTACATGTCTGAAGAGCTAAATGCATGCCTGATAATAATTTACTTTCTCCTCTTCCATATTCTTTGAGCAGTAATTTATGGGTTTTAGAGAGCTGAGTTACACAACTGAGCACCTAAGAGTCCTGCAATTAATTTTACACTTGCACCATGCTTCCTGCATTTCCATTATTCTCTGGTTCTGATTTTCTACATCCTGTTCCAAAACTGGGACTCATTCAAACACAGGCACCTTTTCTATAGCTTCTACCCAGCACCTCACTTGCAACCACTTTCAGAGGCCTGAGAAATCATTGTTCTATTATTGCCTGGAAGTCCCAGGGAGCCTGGCACATAGTCTGACAGATTAAAATTTGACAGCTGCCCCCCACCCTTCTGAAAGGAAAAATTTAGGACAGGATCCCAGAGAGTTTACAGGCTTTGCTTCCTGCTCTAGCCTCATAGATTCTGCTCCCGGATATAAGATTAAGCAACAACAGAAATTCCAGAGTTCTGAAAATATACTGTCAGCAGGGATGACAGAAAACAGATGCTTAGAGCTCAATTTCTTACGGTGTCTGGTGGAGGAGTTAAGGATTTTAACAAGACTTGGAAGTGGGAAGTAAGAGGGGGAGAAATAGAGGTAAAAGCTCTGAACTAGTCCTTCTTGCAACCTTGGTTTGGAAGCAATAGTTAGAATACCATGGTGATATCATATTCCTTTGTCTCTGTTATAAAGAAGATACATTTTAACATCTAAGAAAAGAGATACAAAGAATATTTTCTGTTTTATTTCATTTTAGAGATTTATTGTATTTGAAAGGCAGTGTTATACAGAGAGAGAGAGAGAGAGAGAGAGAGAGAGAGAGAGAGAGAGAGATTCTTCCACCTGCTGGTTCACTCCCCAGATGACCTCAATGACCAGAGCTGGACCAGCCGGAAGTCATGAGTTTCTTCCAGGTCTCCCATGTGGGTGGCAGATTCTGATTTTCTACTTGGGCCATCTTCAACTGCTTTCCCAGGCAAATATTAGCAGGGAGCTGGATTGGAAATAGAGGAGACAGGACAGGAACTAGTGTCCATATGGGATGCTGGCACCACAGGCGATCGTTTAAGCAACTGTACCACAACTCTGGCCCCCATATCATTTTCAATTGAAACTAGGTAAATGGCTCTCTTGCACTGATGACTCGATTGGAATTAGGAAAACCTGCATTTTATCTTGTTATTACTGCTCTAAATAGACCTAAGTGCCTCTTGGTTCCAGTGCTAAAGTTTTCAATCAAAGAGGATACTACAAGAAGTGTAGTATTTGCCACCAAAACACTCATTTCCCTAGGCCTTACACACTGGAGAGTGTTTGCAACAATTGCAGGGATAGCCATAACTCAACTATCATAATCTCTCACCTCCGCTTACTCAAACAGGGCAACAGTTCCCCATGATAAATCCTCTACAGTTGTATTTATTTCTGGAAGTTCCAAGGTCTGACATGTGCTCACAAAGAGGTGACTCCAGCCAGACACCTCCCCCCACCACACACACACACACACACACACACACACACACACACACACGAGCCCTCAGGTGCCAAACCTTGGTCCATGATGACTGGGAAAAAGTCAGTAGTCGTCCTTTTGCTATGTGAGACCCTTCTGCTTCCCAGAGTTTGTAAGGGAGTTGCTCACTCCTGTTTTACCCACAGCACTTTATCTCCATGCAACCAGAAAAAATTCCTAAGATTGAGACAGAAACAGAATGGAGTAACATTCCTTTGACTGTACCTGGAATGTCCCTTTCCTCTGACAAAGTTTGATTACAAGACCAAGCTCATCATATCAACATCTCTCCTTTCAGAAATTCTTCAGTGCCTTGCAAAAACAAACTGCCGACAGATGCTTAAACAGGCGTTCATACGTGCAACAAATGCTTACTGAGTGCCCACTATGTACCCAAAATAACTGAATTTCAACTTTCGAAGGCACTGGTTCCCTTTAGACTCCATAAAAATCCTAGGTAACTGCACTCCTTCCAAAATGCAAGTGCCTGCCGGAAGTCACTGGTGGCCACAGGAACTTATTTCCAACTCTATCACTATCTGGATGCATATAATATTAATCACCCATTGCCTCTTTTCTAAAGTACCCCCAAACCTGTGGGCATGACTATACACAGAAAGCTTCCACAGGCATCTGAGGAAATAAAGCAATCCTCCAGCAGAAGACTTCTTTATACCCATCTGAGAGAGAAGATATGTGCTATTGTTATTATTAAAGAGCAGGCATTATCTGATTTGCACACATGAAAGGTAGCACAAAAGCAACTGCAATGTCTGCATAGAAGTTTTTTTAAATCTATGGAGTGAAAGAACAATGAAAATCTCTCCTAACCTCTTAAGAGATAAATAGATGCGCTTCAAAACTGTCCCCCTGGGTACCTTGGGAGGAAATTATGTAGGAAATATCTATTTACGGTTCATAGGATTGGAAGGCTCAGGACCTTACATTATAAATTCCAAAAGTCAAGTTTCTTAGAGAGCCTCTTATATGTTTATGGAGACATAATACGAAGGGGGTGGTAGGGCCAGCGCTGTGGCATAGTGGGTAAAGCCAAAGCTTTGATTGGGCCCCTGCACCCACGTGGACCATCTTCCACTGCCTTCCCAGGTGCATTAGCAGAGAGCTGGATCAGAAGTGTAGCAGCTGGACTCAAACCGTCACCCATATGGGATGCTGGCAATGCAGGTGGTGGCTTTATCCACTACACTCCAGTTCTTTACCCAGTATGCCACAGAACTGACCCCATCATCCCCTTTTTATGACCTCTCATATAAATAAACATTTCTACTCTTGAACAATTAATGGCTTCATAATTTATTGGCATAGTAGTGAGTGGTTTTTCATTTTCTTTTTTTTTTTTTTCTGTTATGCAAGATTGAGAAGGAGAGAACATCGCATGTAACTTGGTCTTAGTATTTCCCTCTGGTCACTGTTTGTTTCACTTTAGTACAATTGTAGGACTCACAGCAGAATTTACTTAAAGTCAGCTTCTTTTCCAGGTTTCTGTATTGCCTGAGAGAGCCTCTACCCCCAAAGCTGGTCAAATCAGCCGGAAAGTGCTTGGTACAATCATAGGTATGCTAGGGGATGGCAGCTGCCCAACTCTAAGCCACAACTCCGATGATGGACTTCAAGGGAGTAGCTGAGCCCTTTCTAAAGCTGAATATCCCATGGTGCACTCTGAATTAGCACTGGGGACAGAAGCCAAGGTCAAGTTGCAACAACCTGCAAAACTGCATCAATGCAAAGAATTGAGCTTTTCTCCGATTTTTGTTTTTAATTACCACTGGAAACAACACTTCAGTAGATGGCAACCCTCAGTGTGATTCCTCTGTTACAGTTTAGCTTGACACAAAGTCTACCCCGGATTCCATGGGAATGAATAAGAACCTCAGCCCAAGCACCCTACAAATTAGGCCATCTCAGTGCATCTTTGACGTGTGTTTTCCTTGCTTTCAAAGGGCAAGCCCTTGGCTCCAGCTGCAGGGATTATCAGCTAGGGCCAAGCTGGGCAGGCTGATGAGTGTTGCTCTGCTGGGTCCCCTCTCTCCCAGATAACACGGGCTGAGGCGAGAAGAATCCCCAGGTGGCGTTTTTTTCCCTCTGTGTTGAAGAGGAAGCCAGGGAGAGGGTTTCTATATCAAGAACACTTGTTGAAATCTATTTTTAAAAGATATTATAAACAAAACTTTCAGGCATTGAATGCTCATTGATGAGTGAATTCTAATATCTAGCAGAGCATTCCCTTCACTTTCTGTTAGCACAGTTCCTTTCTTGATATCGCAGCAGAAGGGTTTGCAGCAGGCAGGCCACTCTCGGGTTGTTTAAACACGATTTTTTTTGCCTACTGAGGCATACTGAATGTGGGAGCTTGAAATAGAGGACATATTCTCCAACTCAGGAAAATTGCGCAAACTCAAACTCCTCTCTAAAAATAAAATGATTTTCTAAAAAAGATCATCTAAGTGGGCCAAAGATCGTTTTAATTTTTCTAACATTCAATATTTTGTTCAAATAGGACACAATCATCTTTGATTGTATCTGAGTATCAGGATATGGCAGCAGCCCCCCTCCCCCCATACTTTCCTATATTGTAATTAAAGTAGGACAATGACGGGAGGCTTCTTTTTTTAAATTTTGGATTTGGGGATGTGTTTTATTTATTTCTCTTATTTTTAGTGTGGCTAGTTTTCCAGAGGCTCACTGCCTCGAGCTATATTTCAGTCTGAAAGGTGTCGCAGGAGTCACCTGAGCCAGCCAGATTTCCAACGCCACCAGTTGGGGCTCACAGCATAGCGTTATTGCCTCATCGGACTGTAATTTAGGAGAGTTCTCAAATCTGTTGAGTCAGATACCCAGGGGCAACTCAGAAAGGAAGAGGCTCAGTGGGTTTATTGCACTCGCAGGAAAGAGGGCAGGATGACTGAGCGCAGCCAGGATACACCAAGGGCGATACTGTTATGTGGGGATCGGCAATTTAATTTGTCTTTGCATTTTATGAATTGCAGCCAGAGATGTATTTGCAGGGAAATACATGGGCATTTTTGAAAGCGATTAATTAAGCATGCAATTTATATGAAAACAATTTACTGTAGGACATTATCAGGGCACCCAAAATGCACATGCAATTTCCTTGCCTTCTAATTTGTGGACATAATTTATTTTGATTGTGCAATTAGGAAAGGAGACCTTTATTAATTTTGGTGCAAGTCTAAAGAACCAAGACCAATTTCGTATTGAAAGACTCTTTCCTAATGTAAAAGAGGAGGGCGTGGCCTTGGGCTCTTGCATAGATCCTAAGCTCTCTGAATCCAAAGCAGTGGAATTACACCCATTTCTGATCCTGATTATCTTCAGCAGGTTCTTTTTTCACTCCGAGTGTCAGCTTTTTCTTTTATAAAATGGAACTAAAAAACAAACAAACAAAAAACAGAAACCCTCTGCCAGGAGTGAGTGCTTGGCCAAGAGGTTAAACCTCCAGCTGTGAAGCTGGCATCTCATACTGGAGTGCCTGGGTTCAGATCCCTGCTCTATTCCTAATTCCTGCTTTCTGCTAATGCACACTCTGGTAGGCAGCAAGTGATGGTTCAAGCAGGTGGGTCCTTGCCAGTCATGTGGGAAACCAGTTTGAATTCCCAGCTCCTGGCCCAATCTCAGTCACTGCGGGCATTTGGAAGAGTAAACCAATGTAAAAAAGAGCTATTTTCTTGCTCTCTCTCTCTCTCTCTCCCTCTCTCTCCCTTCTCTGTCCCTCCTTCCTCTCTCTTCTCATAGATCTACCCACATCCTTGTCTCTTGTCTGTCTCTTGGCCTCTCAAATAAATGTTTAACTCTTCCTCTTGAACTGGCATGTCATGGCAGGTTTGGAGGGTCTATCCTGCCTCAGTTTGCCCTTTGTGATAGTGAATTGTCTCACAACTGACTTCACTACATAGCATCATCTTCCCCAGGCCTCTCCTTTAAGACAAACACAACTTCGTTGCCTGTAGCAGATTGGCCACAGTGTCCTTGCCTGCAGACACCCAGGCTGACAGTTGCCATGAATGCAAAAGGAAGACAATAGCCTGAACCAGATTTTTGTTTTATGAGAGGAAATTTGCCAGTGCAGAAATGGAGCCTATTACTCCAATAGTCTAGTCCTATAACAAACCAAAAGGATCACTCCAAATCACCAAAATTCTACTAGCTATTTTTAAAACATAAAGGCCTCAAAGGTACAAGGTGTTTTTGTTTTTGTTTTTGTCTTTTACATTTTAGGGAAGACTATCAAATCATTATCAGAAAAGTCTTTGTTGGGGGGACTACCAATAACAAGAAGGGAAAACTCAAGGGCCTCAGTCCCCTACCCCTTATTCCCATACCCATCACAGAGGAGGAGGAAGGGAATAAAGCAAATTCAACATGTGACAGATAATGTACTGGAGCCCCTTTCTTGTCTGTCACACCAGGGCCATAACTTCCCCCAAGCAGGTATCCTTACTCCCATGTGTAGATGAGGAATCAGGGCTCACAGGGGTTAGCTGGAATGCACCTGCAATTGTCCACAGACCCCATGTTCTTTCCAGGTGACCACTCAAACCTGCCCTAGGAACTCAAGGAGGTTGCCACGTGGTTCTTTCCCTTTTGAAGCTTTCCCTTAGGGCAGCTAAGCCTTAAAGAGATGTTTCAGCCACTTTCTGAATTCTAAGTGGCACTGGGCTTGCATATGTTGAAAATCACCATTTTTACCATTTAATCATGTGTTAGTTTGCAACTTTTCCTTGGTGTTGAATAAATCACCACTTTCAATATCAATAGCACTTGAGTGTTTCCATAGCACATTCACAGTAACTATTTATGTATATAACCTAGATTTTATCAGTATGGGCTCACAGTATAAAGTTACAATTTGCTTTCATGCATAAATTACAATGCCACTAAATCCCCATTTACCTAGATTAGCAGAAAATCTAAGCAGTCTATCTTCACAGGAAGAAACCCTCTCCTGATTGTGACCCAAGCTCCCAACTATGCTTACTCAATCCTCAGGTTCAGCCTGGATTCATGGTTTAAGGGTGAGGGTAGATGATCAAACAAGTGCCTTGTTCACTGCCAGTGTTGCCACTGTTACTAAATTAGGATGGTGTCACTGAAAAACAACAGTTGGATATCAGAAGCAAGATCTATTTCTATCATTTTTTGCTACTGTTGCTGGAACATAGTATATCATCATGCAAACCAATAAGATTTCCAAATCTGACATCCCCAATACCATATGCTATTGTGGCTCCTTGGACACTACCACCAGGTTCAATCATGGATGATGCCCCTACCCAAACTCAACCTGGGGTTCCAACTATCGAATTCTTAGCTCTCTGATCTCACCCATATTTTTCTCTATAGCAGACGATGTCCTGGATCAAGCCTTCTAGCATTAGCCAGTTATCACCACCAGAAACTGTTCAGTTACCAATAGTCTGGGTTCCTTGCACTTTCTTAGAGTCACTCATTCACTCTCCTCTCTCCCTTAGGGTGATTTCTTCATAAATGCAAGGAAAGACACAAAAGTAGATAGGATTTTGAACAATATCTAAATACATTAAAGGGATCACTTGGTGATCCTTCGCAGAACAAGGTGAGACAGGCCAAGAGTAAATCAAGTTTCTCCTCTAGAGAAAGAAAATTGCCTACAACTTTAAGTAACAGTTGACCTCGCTACTAAGAGTTAAGTAAATAGAACCAAAGTCCTGTCTGCTGGGTACTCTATAAATAAGCCTTCTTATATCTAGGCTTGTTTGAGTTCCCAGTTCTCCTTAAGTGGTGTGCTATAATCCAAATAATAATTTTCCTAATAACAGGAATGATATTACATGGGACTCATTGGCTGCCTACTGTTACACTATTAGATGTTACTTTTGCATTATCTTATTTAACCATCACAATAACCTTACAAGGTGAATATTACCAGGATTCTCACATTACAGTTGAGAACACTCAAGGAGGTTAAGCAGCAAACCAACAATGGTAAATCTGGTTTTTGAACCCATATTTGTCAGACTCAAAAGTCTCTTTTCTTAACAATTTATGGGTTTCCAGTTAGAAATAACCAATTTGAATAAAAACCTATATTCCACCCTTCAATATGGAATTATCAGCTGAATGACCTTAGGCAAAATATATTTTCTTGGGTCATTAATTTTCTTCATGTAAATGGAAGTAATAATGGCCACCTTCCAAAGTCGTGTGAGAAAAAAATACAAAAATGTGAAAAGGGCTTTGTAAATCATAAAATGCGTAAAAGATGGGTGATATTTTCGATTTGTGTCTTTTGGTAACCAGGGCAGCAACATGATGAAAATAGGCCCTGGAAATCTTGACGAGAGTGGCCATCATTTTGATGACAAGGATTGCCTTCATGCCCTGACAATTTGGTGAGATAGGAGTAATATGTTTCAAACATACCTAAAACAGTATATTGAATACCTGTCACTCGTGGCTGCCAAAATCTTTTGATAATTCACATTGTGAATCCCACCTTCTCAAAATAGAACTTTTTTAAGAAAACAATTTCCTAAACTTCTTTGCTATTTGGAGAACAGATTTGTGGTTCAGACCACATATACTAGAAGTCGATGACAGGAAGGGTGGAAGATGATGTGTCTATTTGCCTGGTGCTGGTGCTGAATTCCTAGTTTCGGAGGCACTGGCCCTCCTTGTTCAAGGCAAAAGCAGCATTATTGGGGAATGAGGAAGTAACAAAAGCACCCTGATGGCAGCAGGCTCAGCCAAGATGTTGCTCTTTCAGCCTTCCAATGGCCCTCCATCATTTACAAGATTCCTGAATAAGTTCATTTTAGCTTAAACTAAAGAGGATTGTGCTATCTACCATCAAGAATCAAAGCAGCACTTGTACTTTGATACTGATTTATGATAATGATCTTCTAGGGGTCAGCACTGTGACATAGTCTTTACAGCATCCCAGACGGGCACCAGTTTGAGTCTGGCTGCTCCTCTTCTGATCCAGCCCCCTGATAATGGCCTGGGAAAGCAGTAGAAGATGGCCCAAGTATTAGGCCACTGCACCCAAGTGGAAGACCCAGATGAACTCCTGGCTCCTGGCTTCGGCCTAGCCCAGCCCTGACTGCTACAGCCTTATGGGGAGTGAACCAGCAGATGATTCTCTCTCTCTGCCTCTGCCTCTCTTTCTCTGTAACTCTGACTTTCAAATAAATAAGTCTTAAAAAAATTAAAAAAGGTAAGGATCACCTATCAGTTATCCTGTCTTATCCTACAAGTACTTGTAGGATAAGGAGTACTTGTAGGATAAGACAGCTGCCATGCTGTCTTGGAGTTCTCTTGGAGGTGATAAAGTTGCCCATGAGGACAACAAAAAAAAGACAAACAAAACAAAAAAGTGCCAGCCAAATGCATAGGTCAGATACTCAGGCTTCTGTTTTCACACACTGTCTCTAATCTAACATGTTCATTCTGAAAGATAAGTAGGAGTAGTACTACCATTAAACAACTAAGGAAGCTCAAGTCCAGAAAAGTTACATGAGTCTCTATAAAAAGCCCCTTGGCATCCAAAACACATCATTTGCTCCCCACAACACCCAGGAATGGAGCATGGACTGGGCACGTAAGACGTTCCTGGCCCCTCAAGATCAGCTTTCCACAGAGACAGAAATCTCCTCCTTTAAAAATGGATCTGCTGTTGTCTTATGACTTCAGCAAGAACAAAAACAGCTCGAGATAGATGTGAGTATCCATGTAAGATATTTTCTATAAGTAAGTTTATTTAATCTGAAAGAATAAAGATTGATTTTCCTATTACTTGTTCTAGTGGGTTTGTATATTTAAATTGCAAACTATCCTAACAGGCAATTCTATGTAATGAAAGATAAGTGGCATCTATTTAAGGACCAAAGCATTCAGATTTCAAAGAATTGTCATAGCTGTTAAAAACTAACATACTTGAGTCTCTACTTTTTTTTTAATTTCAGGGAAAATAACATAGTGAAACAATCAAAAGATTCTTTTGCTTGTTTTACCAACCAAATGCCAGGCCAAAAATAAATGAAATTAAAAGGAAGTTTATTTTGGTGCAAAAAAAAGATTGAAATCCATGCATACATGGGGTCTTCAAAAAGCTCAAGAAAATGTATATTACAATAAAACTAGGCATAGATTTCAATATCTTTTCATATAAAATAAAGTCATCTTTTAATACCATTTTTCATGAAGTTTTCAAAGTGTCCACATAGGTGAGAAGGAGCTCACTAGCTAGACACACCAAAGAAGGTTGAGGAAGGCAACCAGCTCTCTCCCAGTGGCAGCTGCTCCAATACCAATGCAGGTATCTCCACCTTTCGCCTTCACTTTGTGGGAAGAAACTAATCCAACAGGAAACTTCACCCAGATCAAATGAGTTATCTTGGGAAAACAAAACCAAACATTCCATAAGCACAATCATTTTGACAGGAGTCCTCAAAGTAGGTCAGCCATTTCTTTCTTTCTTTCTTCTTTTTTTTTTTTTTTTTTTTTTGCAGTCTAAGAATCTGGAAATCCAGGAACTGTGGGGAGCAACTGAGACTAGGCTAAGTTACTGGAATTAAGACTTATTCTATGCATCTGCGCTCCCACAATATGGTGCTGAGAAGGGAGTAAACAGCTTCTACACAGCTGCCTCTCGCCAATTTGATTGACTGAGCCGCAGGAGCTGATCTTGCTCCTGATTGGAGGAGAGCAGCGTACTCGGCGTGTGGGTAGCAGAGTTGGGATTGGTGGAAGAGGACTATAAAGGAGGAGAGAGACAACATGCACCAGGAACATCTGAAGGGAACACTTGAGCAGCCCCCGAGAGAGCCGGCCGGCGGTGTGCCGCTCCCCCGCGGAAGTGGGGAAAGTGGCAGGGGGAACCACCCTGCCACAGAGGTGGAAGGGACGGTAGCCAACCCGGGAAGAACCAGCAGCAAACCGGGGAGGGCCGAGCAGATGAAAGAACAGTGCAGGGTCCTGTGTCGTTCCTCCATGAAGAGGGGGAGCGACAGGAACATTAGTATAAAGAAGGCAACATGACACATGTTACATTAATAGGCAGCATCTCCTTGATTCTGAGATATCTTTCATTACCAAATGTTTCATTGTATTATCAACAGATTCACAGAGTAAAAAGCAAAAACATTATTTCAAGTGAACATATTATTTTAAAGATATAATCCAATTTCCTAAAATAAAGTTCTTTTTTAAAAAAAAGTCTCTCAGATTACAGAAAATATGATCATTAAAACTATATATAGGGGCTGGTGCTGTGGCGTAGCAAGTAAAGCTGCTGCCTGTAGTGCCGACATCCCATATGGACGCCGGTTCAAGTACCAGCTGCTCCACTTTTGATCCAGCTCTCTGCTATATGGCCTGGGAAAGCGGTAGAGGATAGCCCAAGTCCTTGGGCCCCTGCACTCATTTAAGAGACATGGAAGAAGCTCCTGGCTCCTGGCTTCGGATCAGTGCAACTCCAGCTGTTGTGGCCAATTGGGGAGTGAACCAGTGGATGGAGGACCTCTCTCTCTGCTTCTCCTTCTCTCTCTGTGTAACTCTTTCTTTCTTTTTTTTTTTTTTTACAGGCAGAGTGGACAGTGAGAGAGAGACAGAGAGAAAGGTATTCCTTTGCCGTTGGTTCACCCTCCAATGGCCGCACCGCGCTGATCCAATGGCAGGAGCCAGGTGCTTATCCTGGTCTCCCATGGGGTGCAGGGCCCAAGTACTTGGGCCATCCTCCACTGCACTCCCTGGCCACAGCAGAGAGCTGGCCTGGAAGAGGGGCAACCGGGACAGAATCCGGCGCCCCGACTGGGACTAGAACCCCGTGTGCCGGCGCCACAAGGCGGAGGATTAGCCTAGTGAGCCGGGGCGCCGGCCACAACTCTGACTTTCAAGTAAGTAAATAAATCTTTAAAAAAAAAACTACATATAATCTCACATCCTTCAACATTATCTGAAATTCTTATGAGGTTTTACTAACTCAGTGAAGCTTTTGGGTTGAACAAAGAATGTGCGTATGTATGTATGTATGTATCTAGCTATATATATATATTTACATTCATAAATATATTTCAAAATCGAGATGAAATACTTGGAAGTATACACCTGAACTAAAAGGACCTTTACAGAGACAGTACAAAATCCATTGTCTATTATTCCTTGTTGATTCTTTTCTATAAAACATTAAACCAAAAAGTAGATTTTATTAGGATATAAAAAGGTATGTCATTAAGGCCAAATGCAAAAGCATAAACAGATGTTAATGAGAAACAGAAGCTGGCAACTAGACAATTGGAGAATCTTAAGGGACACCCTCCCTGGGTTTCTTTCTCTGTCCTTTTCCACAAAGATTCTTGACTCATGTCATTCTTTGAGAAGAGGCTCCTTCCTTGAGAGTTTGTTTGGAGGCCTGGTCCAGCAGGGGAGCACAGCAAGACATACAGCCCCGATAGAACTGTCCTCCTCTGTTGGGGAAGGTCGTCCTCTTCAACTTATTACACAGCTTCAGGAAGGAGGCACACGGAGCAGTGAGGGAGGAAGACGACACCTGCCTAGCCAGCCAGATCAGCCAAGTCAACCCTGGCCATCAATGGACGACAGATGGCCCAGCCAGATCCCCCTCACGTCTGAGGCCTCACCCTTTTTATCCATATGCCCAGCACTCTCATGTTCACTCCTCCACATGCAAACCCCTCCATTAGCAGAGAAAAGAGATTCCGAGTGTCTGCCTTGAGTCAAATATCCTCTATGAAATATCTGCAATGCTACTAATTGTTTTGGAATCAGGTTATAAAGAAATCAGTAGGTATTCATTTGCCTGTAAAGAGCCTTGGTAGTTGGAGTCAACACACGTGGTTTTCCTCAAAAACAAAGGGCTAGTAGGGGTACTGTTGCTTTGGGCTGGCCAGAGGTTCTCACTGACTCCTGCTTTCCAGTTTGCATCAAAGAGGCAGCTCAACTGAAGAACTCTGCCCTGCACTCGGACCTTCACAACCTGCCATTGGGGGGGGGGGGGGGGACAAAAAAAAACAAAAAACAGGCGCGTCCTTGAGTAACACACAGTCAATTCCTGTGAGAAAACTGAACATCTCCAGGGGTGACATTTGCCTTCCTTCTGGGGAAGTTGGTGTACTACACCTGCTTGACAGGAAGGGAAAAGGGACAGGATCTAGAGCTGCTACAAATAGAGAAATTGTCTGGCACTGAAGTAACCAGAATAAGAACAGGAAAAATGCGGAAGAAAAATGAATAGTGGCGCTTTGACCAGGAGACTAGGTTTAAACAGTGCATCTTGGCCCCGTGAAGAAAGAGCTAAAGCTGGATGTTTATCATACCTAGGAGAGAGTTAGCTTCTCTTACTGCGTTATGCTTCTCATGGAGTGATATCTTGCGGTCAATAAGTACACTTGTTCGATTTAATATCATGATCTGGGGGGACAGGGGGAGGGTGATGTCACTAGCGATGATGTCAAAAGTGGCCTCACCAAGTGGCACTGGCTTTGGGAATTTTCTTGAATCCATTGTTAGAACTGGACTCACTGACTGAATTCTAAATCTAACACCTGAAATAAAAATATCAATATATTTACCTACAGTGACATAAAATTCCAGGTGGCCCATAGACTTCGACCACTGGTCTGGGAGTCTCTTCATATAGATACATTAACTACCCAGGGAACCAAGGTGTAATGACAAAGTAAATTGGTAAACATGGACATAAAACAAGGAAAGCTTGCTTTATGAGTTACGTGTTTAACAGAACATAAGCACATGAAATCCTCAGGCAGGTTCATTCTCACTGCCCCCCTCTTTCTCCTCCTCTCTCTCTTTTC